CAACCTTGCGCCAAGGAAACATTACTCACCATGAGTACATACAGGTTATCTTCAGCCTGTTGTTACTTCTTGAAGGTTTTGACTTGAATGCTAATCGTTCCTATCTAATCTACAGGTTGGAAAAGGAAGAGATGTCGGCCTCAATCAGATTGCTTTATTCGAGGGGAAAGTTGCCGGTGGCAACGGTGAGCAGGTTCTTAGCCGGGATGTTTTCAGGCTCGGTCAGCTCTTTGATTTCTTTCGAATGATGTCATTCTACTTCACCACAGTGGGTTATTACTTCTGCACAATGGTATGTTGAGCTCATGTTACCATTTTAAAATTTGAAGGGAAAAAGACTAGATCATAGTAGGGCAATTTGCATTGAACAGGTGCCATTAGTTAAAGTCCCTCGCTTCTATTACACCTGGATGTCTTATTATTACAGCTGCTTGTCTTATTTAATTATCAATATCTAGTTTACCGTAAAAAATCAATATCTAGCTGAACATAAAAAGCATCATGGAAATAGGCCTGAGAAATATATCATGTTAACTGTTCCCCTTGTTGTACATCACTAACAGGCTCCTATGTGAAACCTATTTTGCAGTTAACTGTGCTGACAGTGTACGTTTTCCTATACGGGAAGGCCTATCTGGTAAGCATGACATTCCCAATATTAGTGTGAAAGAGATCGCATAGAATAATTTGTATTGTTTATGTTTCTAGTTAACATGCACTTTGTACATGCAAGAACAATGGTATGTGTGAATGATGAATGTTGATTAGAGGTAAAACAGGTCATTATGAACTTGCATTTCAAACTGCCTGTTCACTTGATCTGGTGGCTTAATTACATAATTTCTACTCGCCTGTTAGTATTTATACTGAACAATTTTTTTCAAATTACTCTTCTCATCGTTTACCTGATTCGTTCAAATTTGTCTATTTTTTCCTATTCACCAAAAAATAGACTAATTTATTTCAAGTTACTCTTCTCAGCATCTACCGTGCAAGTTTTGTCTCTCTACCTTGCTATCTCACAGTTCTTTTTCCTCTTTTTAGGCACTATCTGGAGTTGGTGAAACTATCCAAGAGAGAGCCCAAATATTGCAGAACACTGCCCTGAGCGCCGCTCTAAATACGCAGTTTCTCTTTCAGATCGGTATTTTTACTGCTGTGCCAATGATCTTGGGATTCATCTTGGAACAGGGTTTCCTAAAGGTAAGATCTTATTTTCACCTGTTGACTTCATTTTAGCTGATGAACAGACAAAAGTTTCTGTTGATTTGCATTCCATCTCTTGCTCTGCATGAGCACTAGGCCATTCCCTCTGCTGTCAGTGTAATTGATTATCCTCCTCAACTTTGATCCCACAACACATTCTCTGTGATTTTGCATGATTGACTACGTTTACTATGTTATCTCCATGCTTGCCACTATTGAAATTGATGCATGTACAGTTCAAGTATTTAAAATACACTGCATTTGCATTGCTTCCCTGTTTAACACTTATGACCCAAGAAGTCAAATATTGTGAACTTGATTGTCCATCGTCAATGCCGCAGGCAATTGTCAGTTTCGTCACTATGCAACTGCAGCTTTGTTCTGTCTTCTTTACATTCTCTTTGGGCACCAAGACACATTATTTTGGACGAACTATTCTTCATGGTGGTGCAAGGGTATGCCTCCAGTTTTTTTTATTATTCCCTCCTTTTTCTTGGCCTTCATATTTATGTCCCTTTTGGGACATCCGATATAAGTGCCTTCTGATTTCTTACTATTTTGATTAGCTTCTCAATGTATCAACATATATCTTCTTCTTTATGCTCAGTACCAAGCTACTGGGAGGGGGTTTGTTGTCCGCCATATAAGATTCTGTGAAAACTACCGCCTTTATTCCCGGAGTCATTTTGTCAAGGGGTATTTATCTTTCTCCCCCTGAGTGTTCTGGTGTGCATTTTCAGCTGTGAATGAGGTTTTTGTTTGTCCAAGCTTGGAGTAACGTGTCCAATTATCTTGTGTGCAGGCTAGAGGTTGTGGTTTTGCTGATAGTGTACCTTGCGTATGGCTATAATGAAGGCGGAACACTTTCATACATTCTCCTTACAGTTAGCAGCTGGTTTATGGCCCTCTCCTGGCTTTATGCCCCCTACCTGTTCAATCCATCTGGATTTGAGTGGCAAAAGTACGATCATTATTGGAGTTTCAGTAGGTAAGCTTACAAGCTGATGGATTTACCACTGATACCTTCTTTGTTTCATTTTCAGAACAGTAGAGGACTTTAGGGATTGGACCAATTGGCTGCTTTATAGAGGTGGAATTGGTGTGAAGGGTGAAGAAAGCTGGGAAGCTTGGTGGGAGGAAGAACTGGTATTGTCTCTAGTTGTATTTTGATTTCTTGTTTGGCTTAGATTGTATTGCTTGTGGTCTTATTAATCTTGCTCTCTGTAGGCACATATCAGGACTTTCAGTGGGAGGATCATGGAGACTATTTTGAGTCTCAGATTTTTCATATTCCAGTATGGCATCGTGTATAAGCTCGATGCTCAAGGAAATAATACCTCATTGACCGTAAGTGCTGCATTTATTATTAGTTTGGTTGCTACTGTTTTATGACTTCTTTCTGACAAGGGGATCTCAATAGCAAATCCCTGTAATGCTAGTTCTTGGTGCTTTTGCAGTTGTAGAACCCAGCAAATAGAATTGAACCATCTTTTTTGTACTAACAACCTTTATTGCGTGTGATAACGGCACAAAAAGGCTGATGATTGCTCACACATAAACAATCTCACATCCAATCCATGAGCTAGCATGTATTAACTGAATACCAGATGTTACAATGTGCAGCTCTTTCTCTGAAAAACCTTGCAATCCTAGTTGTTTTGGTGTTGTAGGATTTTGTCATGTTCTTCCTGCTCTAAAGATTGTGATTGTCATTCATGTAATGCTTTCCTGACAGGACCACTATAAAAGCTAGATTTGTGTAGGTTGCCTTACCAACATCGCCGTAGGGAGTCTTTCATAAGAACAACTTCCCCTGCCATAGCCTAGCATGGCAGTGGATCAATCATTACCAGGATTGGATTTTTGTTAAAAAATTTGCACCGCACCAAAATATCTGAAGCTGTATTTGCTGCTTTTCAGGTATATGGTTTATCATGGGTTGTCTTAGCGGTGCTTATAATTCTCTTCAAGGTATGCAATATGTATTTCAATTTGCCTAGCTGTTACGAGCCTTGTTCCTTTTTTGGTTTGGAAATTGAACCTCCGTTGAAACCTATTGGTTTTCAGGTGTTCACTTTCAGTCAGAAAATATCTGTCAACTTCCAGCTACTGCTGCGGTTTGTACAAGGTGTCGCCTTCTTGATGGCAATAGCTGGTTTAGCGGTTGCAGTTGTGTTCACCAATCTGTCAGTGCCAGACATATTTGCTGGCATACTAGCTTTCATTCCTACTGGATGGGGAATTTTATCGGTGAGTGCTCTCATCATCTCAACTTTTCAGGGTGCTTTTATTAGAAGCAGGGTTTGGGTGTGTCTGAGATATTTGCAATAGCACACATTTAAACAAACAATTGTCTTTTGTTGACACTTCAGTGTTTGATTGCAACTGAAATTGCGCATGCAACTGAAACTGCGTCAAAGTAATGCAAAGTTAGATATTGTAGTGCATGTCATGTGTAGTAGAGATCTCAAACGGAGATATTAGAAGAGGCAGGACCTATCTACGCACTAGTGATATACATACATGATTCAGATTCATATGGATCCAATACATACCTTGTTTTTTCCCTCCAGATTGCTGCGGCTTGGAAGCCTTTGATGAAGAAGCTTGGGCTGTGGAAGTCAATCCGTTCAATCGCCCGTTTGTACGATGCAGGCATGGGAATGATCATCTTCATCCCAATCGCATTGTTCTCGTGGTTCCCATTCGTGTCAACATTCCAAACCCGTCTCATGTTCAATCAAGCATTCAGCAGAGGCTTGGAGATCTCTCTTATCCTTGCTGGGAACAACCCCAATACAAGCTTATGATGATTGAATTACAACCCTTGTCGACTGACGCTGCAGTTAGGGACGCTTTCTGTAAAAAGATGGAGTTACCTCGATTGTGTTTGTTGCTTCGCTATTTGCCAATTAGTTGTTGCTGTGTGTATGGATAATCAGAAACCATTTTAGGTACTTAACAGGTAGTTAGTTGTGTAAGAGAAACCAAGAAAGGTTCATTTTAGTAGTGTGTTTTAGCGTGTACCAATCTAGCTACCTTTACATCTGCCTTTTTCCGTAATTGAGCTTACGTCTTGAGGTGGTGTGAATGATCTAACCATTCGAGGATTGAATATTGAAGCGGGAATGCATGTGATTATTGAGAAACTCGAATAGCAAGTTGTCAAATTGGCTATCGTTTTGGCTTACTTTTCTCAAATGATTTCATTATATATAATCTGTGTTTTACATGTCTGTCTCCAAAAATCTTGTTCTTGATATAGTTGTCTGGTCGTTGCCTTAGGCCAATGATGTTTTTTCAATAATTATTGTGATTGGCTCACTTGTATTTTGCGGTATATGAAAGAATCAACAAAATAAAATGCCAAATTACACATTAAAATTTTGTACTTTGTAGCAATATGTTTTTTTTTTATAACGAGGAACACCCTCCACGGTCACCACATTTTGTGGTGCTGTAGTCGGGCTAAAACCCCGGGGTGATAGCGGGATGCTTCCGGGAACACCATGATGGCGGTGAGGATCGAACTTGGGAACTTATGGTCACCAGTACTCCTAAATTACCACCAGGCTATGTGACCTTTGGCTTGTAGCAATATTAGCCAACTTTTGAATAGTGCAATTCACAGTGTGGAATTTTACAAATTCAAAGCACAATATGCAGTAAGATAATTGAATTCCATCAAGCAAACTCCATCGTATGCATCAATAGTCATCAGGACAATCTCATCAAGATGAAGTAACCGAAAATGCACGTCGGTATTTCTGTCTATTGGCAGAATGATTAAATCTCTCCCATAAAATGAAGTTTCCCATCTCTGTCCGGGCAAAATACAGTTGCAAATTGCAATTGAACATAAACCAGCCAACTACTTATAAGCGAAGTACCATCCAGCTCTGATTGCAATGAAGTAAAGAACTTAAAGGGGATTTTTTAAGAAGAAAAAGGAAGGTAGTGGGAAGCAGAGCACAAGATTGAAACAAGGCAGCTCAAACTAGCTAAAACAGTGAATTTACAATATAAGCAGCTGCAGAAAAGCTGTTGAGTGAAAAGAGAGAAAATTAGGTAGAAGAAAGCACAAATCAATTACAGACTAACTTCTCTACCATTCTCGCCTAAGACCTAATCCAACACCCTGCCCTACTAATTCAACATAAACCCCACAACTACTAAAGATAGCGACTTTCCTCCTACTATCATAATTGCGAACACAAGCCAAAAACAAAAAACCAAACTTTAACCCCCTAATTTGGAATTCCCGTTGATGAAGAAAAAGATTCCTCATCTTCTTGACAGGTTTAGCTCTCGTCGTCGGCAGAAGCCTTGGATCCAGACCCGCCAGCCTTCTTTGGGAGGAGAAGGTTGTGGATGTTGGGCATCACACCACCGTTGGCAATTGTCACGTCTCCGAGAAGCTTGCTCAATTCCTCGTCGTTTCTCACCGCAAGCTGGATGTGGCGGGGAACAATTCTGGTCTTCTTGTTGTCTCTTGCTGCGTTTCCAGCCAATTCAAGCACCTGCCATGAAAACCCAAAGAAAAATTGTTGAATTTTCGTCCGATAAACCTCCAAAACCTAGTTTTTTCCTTCGCATTCGTAAACAGAGGAGAAAGAAACCAAGAGATTGAAAGGCCGCAATTGCGGATCCGAAACCCCTAAATTGGTTTGGAAACATGAAATACAAACCCTAATTCTCTCGTCAGAAATTGAGGCATATATGCGCAGAAAGCTCTCATCTAAATAAGACAATTACTTAATTTAACTAATTTGATACGGTTTCTGACAATCTCTGAAAACCCTAGATCCAAAAGATTGCACAGAACTACCAAGAATTATTGTTGAAGAACAAGAGAATGATAATTGAATACAAACCTCAGCGGCAAGGTATTCGAGAACGGCGGCGAGGTAGACAGGGGCACCGGCACCAACACGCTCGGCATACTTGCCGGCCTTCAAGAACCTGGCGATACGGCCGACGGGGAACTGCAAACCAGCCTTGCTGCTCCTGGAGGTCGCCTTCTTCGCGGCACCAGATCCTAGGGTTTTCCCCCTACCGGCCATCTCTGAATCAAATTTCCCCGAGAAAGAAAACCTTGAGAGGAGAGGAATTTGCAGGAACACGAACTAGGAAAAAGCTAAGAGAAATATTAAAAGCAGCAGGAGAAGGATGACAGACGAAATTGATTTGTTAGACTGAAGAAAAGGAGCGGTTGGAGTTATATAGGGAGGGCGAACTTGTCTTTCGACCAATGAGGATGAAAGACACGGATCGATATGCTGGTCCGTTGATTGATATTTGAATGGACGGTCGATATTGGTTTACCGCTTGGATGAAGGAGAACGATGGACGAATGGATTGTTGTTCTATGGTGTCGTCTGATTGCGGAGAGAAACAAATTAAAAAGTCGAATTTCTTAACTAGTCACCGGACTAACCCCATTTACAAACCCATCACTCATATATGTCATCTCTTAGTATAGATCATTCAACTAAGGTCATCTAGCAAAATAGCCAATGTTGTCGGAAACTAACCTGAGTATGTACCGGTATAGACTACCGTGAACGGTTCACATTTTGAGGGTTTTAAGCAAGTTTTTCGAATTCAATAAAAGAGGCCAACTAGAATTCGAGTTCATGAAAAATAAGCTCACCCGTGCTTTTATCCTTGTTGTACCAAATTGGTCCTCACCCTTCGAACTCAATGTGTGATGCTAGAGATTGTCAATCGGCACAATGTTGTCAGAGAAAGGAGCATCAGTTTTGTGCTACGTACTATGACATTCGAACAATAAATGATGCCTGGTGAAATTACACGACCGCTCATATATTTTCATGCCAAGGATGGTGAATCCAATCCACAGGCATGGGTTGGTATCAATAACTCCTTCCCTAATCAGTAAATTTTCCGATACTAATTGAAGAGGCACATGGTCCTTGTTTCGCTAACATGACAACCTATATGACTACCAAAGAGACACTAAATGGTCTCAACTATAAAAAGAAGTTATTTGCATGTCTAAAATACTATTTATGGGATGTGCAATATTTCATTTGTATCGAATCAGATGAAATTATTCGAAGGTGTGTCTAACCATCAAAATGACTTGCAATGTTTTAGAATGTGGATTCTACTGGCCTACGATCTTCCAAGTTTGTGATTGATACTCTAAGGTATGAGATGCATGACAACAGTTGGGAAAATGTATACTAGAGGAACAATATGCCCCAAATATTAAACCGATGGAACTATTCAATGTTTGAGGAATCGACTTTATGATACCCTTTCCTTCATCCCTTGGAAACGAGTACATTATAGTTCATGTGGACTATGTCTTGAAGTGGGCAAAGGGGAAGTTTTTGAAGAAACTCTTTGCTCAATTTTGTACATAATGTGGCATTATCAATGATTGGGCACCCACTCGCAATGCCAGTTCGAGCGAGTATGTCGTTAGTTTGGAGCGCCTCACTCTAATCTATTTCTTGTCATCCACAAAAAAAAACTTAAGAGTGGATATCACAAACAAATAATTCAAACAAATCTTGTAGAAGATAATTGGTCATTCTCACAGATATTGGTTGACTAAACTTGATGAGGCTCTCTAGGGATACCACATTGCCTATAAGAATCTGATCGAAACACCTCCCTATTGGACGGTTTGTGCGATAGCATTCCAGCTACCAGCATAACTATAACACAATTTTGGAAAATCAAAGAACTTAATATGGAATTGGAGCTATTGGGTGAGGAATGCAATAATCAAATCCATGAACTCTATGAGTTTAGATTTCATTACGATTCCTAGTGGCACAATCCACCAAGGCACAGAAAGAAGGCCTTGGCGGGTAAACTTATTCCCAGAATCCATTACTCCCCTGTTTTCCTCATGTCCCACAACCCTTTACTCTAATTATGTCATTTCCATCCTAAAGGAACACTACAATTGAAAGAAGCTCCCTCCATTGCCCCGTCAACTTCAATGCTTCTTTCATTATTGGGTTTGATTTTATTATTTGTGTAGCATCCTAATCCAATAGGAAATGGGCTGCCTGATGATGCGATGGTGGAAGCGGCCAGCCACGATTGCATTGTTCCCGGTCTAGTTACCCTTCATTCGTTTAACATGGTGGCGGCCGGCAGAGTCACGGCCGACGGTGGTGGATGAATTGTGTTTGTTATGATAAAGATTATTTTTTATATTTTTAACCATAAAAAAGAAGGACAAATAGGTAATAATAAATTATAAGTTAGGGCGATTATATAAAACTAGGGCGACAATTAGCAACCCTCATGCAAATATATCGCAGCTCACAATACCTCAGACCTAGAAGATGAGGAAGCATAAAAGAACATCTTTTTTTGCACTAAGGAAGAGTTTAATTAGTAAGATAATTGAACTCCATCAAGCAAACTCTATGAGTCTTTCAGTGGCATGTTTCGGTCCTCTTCCCCATTACTTAGAAAAAGTGAGCCACCGGTTCAGGTACAAGAGACTATCATTACCACCTGGACACAAAGCAGTTAAAATCGGGATTTTATCTAAAATAAAAAACTGGGGTAAAATCGGAATCGTAAAATCGAATCGTAGAATCGTAGGATTTTAAGTACCATATAGAAATTAACATATGATAATATTAATAAGGTAAATAATTAATAACAAAAATACTTATAACATTTAAAGTGATAATTTTCAAGATTAATGTTCCAAAATCATCATTTTAATTGTTATTTATTGTGTAACTAAAAATAATTTACGAGGAAGGGATAGAGCTCACGGGGTTTGGCTCTTGCTTTTCATGTTGTGTCTAGGTAGTTTAACTCAAAGTAGTATTCCGACATCGTCTACTAAGCATGATTTAAAACTAAGAATAACTGAAATCCAATAAAATAATTAATGTCACTGGTTTGGTACAAATATATTCATTAATAATAATTTGTTAATAATGATGTTAATTCTTACGCACTAACAATATTCTAATAATTGTTTTACCGATGAGTTAAACAAGGAGAAAGGAAGGGGGTTGACCAAACCCTAATTAGTTTTTTTTCTTCTTTTCAAATGTTCTTTTAATAGGAAAAATATATGAGAAGATCCCCGTCATTGCCATTTCCACCGAAACAATTCTGCTTCTTTTGAATTGGCTCAAGCTCCCTATTTTGTTCACATAGGATCAAAATCCCGATTTTGATACGATTTTACGATTTTAACGATTTTAATCCCGATTTTGAACGATTTTAAGGTCCATTGATTTTATAGTAAAATCAGGATCGGAATCCCTAAGTAAAATCCTAAAATCCTACGATTTTACGATCCAAATCCCGATTTTGACTGCATTGCCTGGACAATTAGACATCCAACCCGTAATCGCAACGACCCAATTGCAAGAGCGGAGCTCTACCAACTGAGCTATATCCCCCCGAGCCAAGTGGAACATGCATGAAGGAGTCAGATGCTTCTTCTATCCTGGACTTGAACTAGAGACCTCGCCCATGAAGTAAATCATCGCACTAATCAACATGAAGCCATCGAAAATGCACGTCGGTATTTCTGTCTATTGGCAGAATAATTGAATCTCTACCATAAAATGCAGTTTCCCATCTCTGTCCGGGCAAAATATAGTTGCCAACTACGCAGAAGTGAAGTACCATACAGCTCTGATTGTAATGAAATAAAGGACTTAATAGGAGATTTTTTAAGAAGAGAATGGAAGCTAGTGGAAAGCAGAGAACAAGATTGAAACAAGGCAATCAAACTACCTAAACAGTGAATTTACAATATAAGCATCTGCAGAAAAGCTGTTGAGTGAAACAGAGGACATTAGATCAAGAACACAAATCAATTACAGCTAACTTCTCTACCATTCTCGCCTAAGACCTAATCCAACACCCTGCCCTACAATTTCAACATAAACCACCCCACCTACTAAAGATACCGGCTTTCCTCCTACTATCACAATTGCGGACACAAACCAAAAAACAAAAAAACCAAACTTCAACCCCTAATTTGCAATTCCCGTTGATGAAGAAAAAGATGCCTCCTCTTCTGACAGGTTCAGCTCTCGTCGTCGGCAGAAGCCTTGGATCCAGACCCGCCAGCCTTCTTTGGGAGGAGAAGGTTGTGGATGTTGGGCATCACACCACCGTTGGCAATTGTCACGTCTCCGAGAAGCTTGCTCAATTCCTCATCATTTCTCACCGCAAGCTGGATGTGGCGGGGCACAATTCTGGTCTTCTTGTTGTCTCTTGCTGCGTTTCCAGCCAATTCAAGCACCTGCCAGGAAACCCCAACAAACATGGTTCACTTTTCGTCCGATAAACCTCCAAACCCTAGTTTTTTTTTCACATTAGTAAACAAACGAAAAAGAAACAACAAGATTGAAATACGGTTTGGGAGGAATGGAGTCGTCAAGCAATAAATCCGAACCCTAATTCTCTCATCCTAAATTGAGGCATTTGAAGCGCAGAAAGCTTTCATCTTTACAAGACATTTGCTTAATTTAACCTATTTCTTACGGTTTCTGACAATCTCTGAAAACCCTAGATCCAAAAGATAACACAGAAGTACCAAGAATTATTGTTGAAGAACAAGAGAAGGATAATTGAATACAAACCTCAGCGGCAAGGTATTCGAGAACGGCGGCGAGGTAGACAGGGGCACCGGCACCAACACGCTCGGCATACTTGCCGGCCTTCAAGAACCTGGCGATACGGCCGACGGGGAACTGCAAACCAGCCTTGCTGCTCCTGGAGGTCGCCTTCTTCGCGGCACCAGATCCTAGGGTTTTCCCCCTACCGGCCATCTCTGAATCAAATTTCCCCGGGAAAGAAAACCTTGAGAGGAAAGGAGAGGAATTTGCAGGAACACGAGCTCAGGAGAAGGATGACAAACGCAATTGATTTGTTAGACTGAAGAAAGGGAGCGGTTGGATTTATATAGAGAGTGAGAACTTGTCTTTCGACCAATGAGGATGAAAGACACGGATCGATATGCAGATCCGTTGATTGATATTTGAATGGACGATGGATATTGGTTTACCGCTTGGATGGAGAACGATGGACGAATGGATTATTCTATTTTGTCGTCTGATTGCGCCATTGCGGAGAAACAAATTAAGAAGTCGAATTTCTTAACTAGTCACCTCACTAACCCCATTTACAAAACCCATCACTCATATATGTCATCT